GACTCTCTGACACAGGAGCCCACAGGAAGGGCCTGCGGAGTCTGGAGAACTGGGGGCCCAATCCATCTTCATATGTACAGGCCTTGGGCTGTCAGGCCAGAAGGGGCTGCACTGGGAGAAGAATCAGCATCTTCCCTGGAAGAATGTGCAATAGCTGAAATATATTCTAGACCAGGAGTATCCAGCAGAACCACTGTGTGAGCTATGAATGGGAGCTGAAAACTTAAGTCTAATTTCTAGAAGCCATAGGAGAAAGGAAAAAGAAACAGCATGGAGTGTACTGCAGTAGTAGAGCACATGTTTAACTTGCATGAGGCCCTGGGTTAGATCCCTAGTGCCAAAAGAAAAAGAGATGACTTAGGGCTGGGAAGGTGGCTCAGTGATAGAGCGCTTGCCTTGCATGCATGAGGCCCTCGGTTCGATTCCTCAGCGCCACATAAGCCAAAAAAGAAAAAAAAAGCCAGAAGTGGCTCTGTGCCTCAAGTGGTAGAGTGCTAGCCTTGAGCTGAAGAGCTGAGGGACAGCGCCTAGGCCCAGAGTTCAGACCCTACGACCAGACCCCCCCCCAAAAAAAGAAAAAAGAAAAAGAGGTGAAATCAATTTTGGTAATATATTTTCTTTAACCGAATATATCCTAAATATAACTGTTTCAACCTGAGTCAAATAAAAAAGTGTTTGAGTTATTTTACATGCTTTGCATTCTCTTTGAAAGCCAGGGACATTGTGTATAGACAATACAGACAAAAATCTCAATTTGTAGCTGGGCACTAGTGGCTCATACCTGTAATCCTAGCTACTCAGGAAGCTGAGGTCTGAGTATCACAGTTTGAAGCCAGTCCAGACAGGAAAGTCCATGAGACTCTTATCTCCAATAAACTATACAGCAAAATCCAGAAGTGGTGCTATGGCTCAAGTGGTAGAGTGCTCGACTTGAGCAAAAGAAGCTCAGGGACAGTGCCCAGGCCTTGTGCTCAAGCATCAAGACCATCAAAAAAACAAAATCTCTATTTTCTAAGAACATGAAGTCCTTAGAAGCCACATGTGGTTAAGAGCTGGAATACTGGTCGGTGTGGCTCAGTAGCTTTGGCCACTTCACTCAGTCCCTCTGAGTTTTCTCCTCTATAAATGAAAATACCTATATACATGGAGTTTGCGGAATAAATGAAAGCTTAAAGACATTTTTTTTCTTGTGGTGCAGGGGATAAAATCCAGGGCCTTGTATATGCTAGGCTTGTGCTCTACCACTCAGCTGCATTTCCAGCCCCAAACCATTATATTTAAGACCATCTCTACCAAGAGACATTTCTTAGTTCCTCATGTCTAAGCCAACCTGTTGATCATGAAACCACCACCCTCCTTCTGCAACTGCCCCCAGTGTCTTGCCACTCTGCCTCCCTCAGACCTTCACTCCTTCCAAGAAGTGTCCACTAGGCTGCAGGGGGGCTCCAAAAAGCAGTGGGCTTGGAAGGCATTTCTCCAGCCTAGGAAGGAGTTTCTAGAAATGGTGCTGAACCCTGCAAATGCCTAATGACTATGAGAATCATTTAGCACAAGAAAAGGCCAGACCTTTGCCCTGGCCTGGCTCACAGGTGATGGAGTTAATCGGGAATGTCTTTCCCTGACTCAGGGTTGCTGGTAGGGGTCCAGCTCCCCCAATGACCTGGGGACACATTACTTAGTGATAAGTGGGGCTTTCCAGGCCCTTTTCTCCTGTTTACTATACATTGGCTTTCCTCAGACAAAACCCTTCTCCTCTGCCTTGCTCCTGGCTGTTATGGCTATATAAGACAATTTGCTGATGGACTCTCCACAGAAAGGCATCTTCCTTGAAGCCCCTTCCTACCTCCACAGAACCCGAGGCAACATCCCCTCCACCTGGTGGGTCCTGGAGGGGGCCAAAGATGCTTGTTTCCCTCAGCTCACTGCAGTCTCTGAAGTCAGAAATGTCATCCTTGCTGTCTGCTCAGCTTCAATCTAAGATATCAAGGAACAAACTCAAAAGTGCCTAGATGGCATTTCCCAGGCTTTGTTAAGGGGAGACTGAAGCTGCTGTTGCCCAAAGCAAAAGTGATCGAGGGGTGTCCTGTTGAGCTTGACAAGCACACTTTGTGTCATCAAAGCAGATGTGAGCTGAGACTGTAGCTCAGTAGTAAAGCACTTGCCTAACATGCACAAAGCCCTGGGTTCCATCCAGCATCACAATAAAAATAAAAGGATGATACAAGAGGTGCCTGGAGGGTGGCAATGTGAATGTAGCATGGCCTTCATCCCATCTACCACTGATGAGATCAAGCCAGCAAGTGAATTTCTCTATAGTTCAGTGCCCCTGTCTAGATAACCAGGGTGCTGCTGTAGGTCCTGCCTCCCACTTGGGAGCCAAGATCACAGATGAGAAGAAGCTCCCAGTGATCATTCCTTCAGAAAGAATGGCTTTGCTGCTGGGGAAGATTTTTTTTGGGGGGGGGGGAGGGGAGCGTGGGGCCTTGGTAAGAAGGGACAGAGTTGAGATAAGAGTCTTGCTAGAGCCAGGCTTGCTTCAAAATTTTCAACCTCCTGTCCCAGTAGTGGGATTACAGGCATGAACCACTGTGCCAGTGTATATGGATAGGCTTTAATCATCTCAGAGATAACTTTCAAGTAATTCTAGACTCTTGCGATGTGAAGAAGAGAGAATACTTAGGAGTGAGTTGATTATGTGGGGCTCATGTAGTAACATTTAACAAGCACATGACTTTTACTGGGAACCAAGCTGTGCAGGAATGAAAGACGTGTCTCTTACCCCCCAGGATGGAGGCAGAGAATTGGGATACTTTCAATGAATTCTGAGAAAGAGCACAAGAAACTAGGGGAGACACAGGAGGGGGTCCTATGCAAGTCTTGGTGTCAAAGGTGCTCCCCAGAGGAGGCAAAGTCAAAGTTCAACTTGAAGAATGAATGGGAACTGATCAGGCCTGAGGCACAGAGAACAGCATATGAAAAGACATAAGGACACAAAAGCCCTTGTGAGTTATTAAAAAACTAACTATAGCGAAAGGGAATAGAGTGTGATTCAGGTTACTACTTCCCAGCAAGCACAAGGCCCTGGGTTCCTCAGAACTGACAGAAACAAAAAAGAAAAGGAAGAAATAGAGTAGAAGTTAAAATTGCAACAAGGTGGAAAGTTGAAGCTTTTTTTTTAGATTTTTTTATTTTTTAATTAAGTTTTTTTTATTGTGAAAATACTGTACAAAGGGGTCACAGTTACATGAGCAAGGTCATGAGTACATTTCTTATCCAGCATTGTTGCCTCCTCCTTTGTTTTTCCCCTACCATTCCTTCCCTCCCACCTCCTCAGCTACACCCCCTGTTTTTTTTTTTTTTAAGCCAGAGACTGTGAGGCACAGAGGCAGTCTTCTACACTTCAGCCCCTAATCTGCCTTCACCTCACAGGGATGCTGCAGAACCCAAATAAAAATATATAAGAATAAAAATTAGGGCTGGGAAGGTGGCTCAGTGGTAGAGTGCTTGCCTTGCATGCATGAGGCCCTGGGTTTGATTCCTCAGCACCACATAAGCAGAAAAAGCCAGAAGTGGTGCTGTGTCCCAAGTGGTAGAGTGCTAACCTTCAGCTGAAGAGCTGAGGGACAGCATCCAGGCTCAGAGTTCAGGCCCCACAACTGAAAAAAAATTGAGAAATAAAATGTTACTCAACCTCTGTTAGCTTCTACTTATCTAAAAAAATCTACAAATAAAAACGAAGTCTTTATATTTAAGGCCATCCCCATTCCACACCACAATCTGCTCTAATCTTCTAATACTATTATTGCTCCAAACCACCTTTACTCAAACTATTCCTTCAGCTCCAGAGCCCTCCCAGCCCTTCATCTCTACCAGGCCAACACAAGATATATGGAGTGGATAGTATATGCAAGGCACTGTTAAAACTCTATGGATCTTTGAAATGTCCTATTCCTGTGCTACTTGGTCCACAAACCCTTTTTATTCCTCTCCAAGGAAAATGGTACTTGTATGAATGGTTAGTTCTCCTAACTTCTCATAAGAAGTGTGAAGATTTAATGACTTGTGTTTTGTCTTCCTTTCCCCACATGTGTGCCCGGTACATAATAGGTCCTCAGTAAAATACAGAGTAATTTGGAAAATCAATATTAGGAAAGAATGTACATGGGTGGGATGCAAAACTGGCAGGGATGCAGGATACAGGAAAACAGAAAATCAGCTTGTCAGAGGAAGAGGTATCTCCTCCCTTGGGAGGCTCTGCCGATAAGCCAGGGAGGATGGAAATTCCATGGCACAGGGAATAGCTTATGCAAAGGACAAAAAGACCCAAAGCCCTTGTGAGTTATTTGAAAAATGCCTAAAGCAAAAAGGGGCCCAGCTCATTCTCTTGGGATTTCTTGGAACTCTGTGGCATTTAGAATGTATAGATGTATGAAACAAGATGCATAGAACATGAACATGACCTCTAGGAGTGGGAGTGGGGGTGGGGGTGGGGAGAAAGAAGAAACCCATCATACAGGAATACATGATAACCACTCACTGATGTGGATTTACTAGATGGAAAGGGGAAGAGGACGATGAGCAGGCAGGCGAGCTGACAAACTGAAGACAGGAGAAGCGAGCTCCCCAGAAAAGAGCTTTCTCGAGACCCCAAATTATATGGTTCAAGGCCAAGCCAGGCAAGAAGAACCTGCAGGTTGGCCTGAAAATTTGCTCTGAGGACCCAACATCAGTACTTCCCCCCCCACCAGAGATTGTCTTTTCCGACACCTGATTTAACTCTGAAGCTGGGATTCTGCAAAACAAAAAACAACCCTACACCCCGCCGTCCTTGTGGGGCCAAACCTCAAGCTACCCTCATCCTCCTTTCCCTGCTCTCACTTCCCGCTTCTCTTCTCCGGAGTCTCACAACTTCTCCCAGTAAGGCGCGCTCGCGGACACCCTGGCGGGCAGGAGGGAGGGTCCTGAGACCGGAAGCCGGAAGTCCCAAGCCGGAAGCCGGAAGCTAGGCTGTGAGGACGTGTTCCGAGGAAGTCGGAGCCGGGATCCGCCGGCGACATGGAGCCGCTGTACCAACAAACGCACAAGTGAGGGAGCGCCGGGGAGCGGGAGGGTCCTAGGCCAGGCGGAGCCAGCCCGTGAGGCCGGAGTCTCGGCTGTCCGCCATTGTGGAGGCCGGGTGCTTCCAACTGGGGCCCTCGGAAGTTTTCATCCCTTGACAGGATCCCCAGGCCAGTCGCCCACGGCGGCTGTGGCCTGGCGTCTGGGGACGTGAGGCCGAAAGGCTTCTGGCGTCTGCCAGCTGTGATTACCTGCTGGGTAGACTGTCTGAAAGGAAAGTATCAGTCACAAAGGTAGTACTTGGTTCAGCACCTGCCATCTCGGCACTGCAGGTTTGTGAGGAGAGACAGCGACTTCTGGTCCACAGGAGTGCACTATTGGATGGTCAGGAGGAGGACGAAAAAGGCGTTTTTAGTTTTATTCTGCTTTGGTATATATTAAAGATCATGTCTTACAATACAAATAAGTTGTACAGGTTGCACTCACTGATTATTAATCATATGCCTTTAAGGAAATGGAAATTGATCTTTGGTTTAGCTTTTCATAACTAAAATTCCTTGATGTATCACTTATTCATATTGTAGTTTAACCTAGTAATAAGGGTACTTGTCATCTTATTTTCCTTGCGATTTGCTTTGCTCTTTCTTATTTCGGTGAAATCTAGGTAGCACACCACTGACTACTGTAACCATTAAGTACTTCAAAACTTAAGGGCTGGAATCCTGGCTCTAGTGACAGAGCACCTAGCAAGCTCAAGTACCACAAAAAGAAAGAAAGAAAGAAAGAAAAAAAGAAAAGGAAGAAAAAGGAAAAAAAAACCCACAATCACATAACCACTATCACATTTCCAGAACTTTTTCATCATCCTATATAGAAACCTTGTACCTACTAAGTAGTAATTGTACATTTCTCCTACCCAGAGCCCTCTTTATCTAATGTTAATGTTCTTCTTTCTGTTCCTATTCTCTTGTAAGTGGAGTCACACAGTTTTTGTCCTTTTGTGTCTGGCTTATTTCTGTGAGCATGATGTTTTCAGGGTCATCTATGTGGTAGCATGTATCAGGTTTAATCTCTTTCTGAATGAATATTCTGTCTTATATTACAGACCACATTATGATTTATTGTCCATTTATCTATTGACAAACACTTGGGTTACTTCCACCCTTTGGCTATTGGGATTAGTGGTTTTATAAATCTGGTTTGGGAGTATCTATTTTAGGCCCAGTTTTCGAATATTTTAGGCATAGTCGGGCACTGGTGGCTCATGCCTGTAATCCTAGCTACTAAGGAGGCTGAGATCTGAGGATCATGGTTCAAAGCCAGCCCAGGTAGGAGAGTCCATGAGACTCTTATCTCCAATTAATCACCAGAAAACTGGAAGTGGCGCTGTGGCTCAAGTGGTAGAGCTCTTGCCTTGAGCTGAAAAGTGCAGCCCCATGACTGCCAAAAAACGAAACAAAATCCATTTTAGGTGTGTGTATCTATCTATCTATCTATCTATATATACACATATATATGTTATGTGTATATATATACACATATATATGTGTATATTTTGTGTATATGTATACACACACATATATATGTTATGTGTTATGTATACACGTATACACATATGGTTGTCTGATGCTAGCCTTAGACTTCAATTGTAGTTGGGATTATGTAGTGTGAACCATCATACATGACTTATTTGTTGAGATGGGGTTTCACTTTTTGTTCAGGCTGGCTGTAAACCCTAATCCTCCATAGTAGCTGGGATTACAAGTATGAGTTGCTGTACACAACCCCTACTTGTCCTGTTTTTAAACCTTTCAGTTGGACGCTGTAGATGTGTGTGTGTTGTGTGTGTGTGCAGTATGCATACATGTGCGCACTCACACATATGTCAGTCTTACAGCTTAAACTCAGGTGCTGTCCCTGAGGGTTTTTTTTTTTGCATATGGCTAACATTCTACCACTTAAGTCATAGCTCCACTTCTGACTTTTTGGCAGTTAATTGGAGATGAGCATTTAACAGACTTTCCTGCCTAGGCTGACTTCTGAGAGCCTGTGATCCTGAGTAGCTAGGACTATGGTCTGAGTCAATTAGTAGATTTAATCTGATGAGAACAAACACTTTCCATGGCCTGACAATGAAATGAAATAAAGAAAAGCAATGCTATGGAACACTAGGAACAACAGTAAGTTTATTAGGTTCTTACTTTGGCCATGAAGTGTTAGATTTGGGTGGGTAAAACTAAAAGAGAACTACCTTGTAATTGATAACTGGATTTGTTTTTATGCTGTGGATCCTGATAATACAAAAATTATAGCAAGAGTCTTGGAAAAAAAATTAGTCTGAGTCATTTGGAAAAGAAAGGACAGATCTTTTACAGTACCCAGGCATATGGGTGTGGTAGTGCCTTGAAGTTCACTGTTGCTGAATGATATCAATGGAACTTATTATATTATTGGAACTATGAACCCAATTTGTTATCTCTTGCTATTTCCATGGAAATGGAGTAGATGTAAATTGTTTTAAAGTTATATATCTCAGAAACTTCTCAACTCATTGCACAATAAATGAATAAGAAAAAGGTGAAAACAACTTTTTACTCCAATACTTTTCATTAATTGAACTTTACAGAGGCATTAATAGGCAGGTTTCTGTGTATTTTTTAATTCTTTAAAAAAAACTACATGTGCATATGTTATATTTTAATTTTAAAAACTCCCCTCTATTGCTTTCTCTTTCTTCAGATTTCTGTTTTTGAGATTACAATGGTTATAGAAATGCTCACATTTGCAAATCTTTTTCTTTTATGTTATGGTGCTGGTAATCAAACCTAGGGCCTTGCATATATTAGTCAGCACCAAGTTTTCCTTTTTCTGTTTTGCATTCTCATGAAATAAAGGCTGACTGTAAAGGTAAGATGAAAATTATGAGGTGGTCCTCATTATTTTATTTAAATTTTTATTTTATTTCGTGGGACAGGGTCTGTTTTAAGGCCCAGGCTAGTGAAGCTCATATTCCTTTTGCTTCAGTTCCCAAGTAGCCTGGGCTGGTGAGTTTGATTAACCTTTTTCCCACTGGTACTGAGCTTGAACTTCAGCATCCATCTCTCACTTTCTTGCTCATAGTTGGCACTCTAGTGCTTGAGCCATACCTCCAGTCTAGCATTTTATTGTTTAATTGGAGGTTGACTCTCAGAGACTTTGCTGCTCAGGCTGGCTTCAAGCTCTGATCCTCCAGCCCTCAGCTCCTGAGTAGCCAATATTACAGGTACAAGTCACTGATACTAACCAGTTTCATTTAAATTATCTTCATCTAAATAGTTTTATTTAAAATTCTTCCTACATTTTCTTAGACTTTTTTTTTTTTTTTTAATAGCAACAGCAAGGCTGGAGACATGGCTTAGTAATAGAGTACCTGCTAAGCTAGTGTGAGGCCCAGCGTTCAAATCCAGTACTGTAAAAAGAACAACAAACTCTACCAAAACAGTAACAGTGTCCCTTGCTCACATCCTACAGGTTGTTTGGTGGTATATTCTCCCAAGGCCAAAGTGGACCCCAAGCTAGACAGGGCAAATGCTTCTTTTTCTCATGTTTACACTCCCAATTGGTACTTTGGTGTCAGTTGTTCCTTATTGACTGTGCGTTATCTGAATTCCCAGCTCAATTGGAAACAGATTTTCCACTTGGCATATCAGTAGCTTCCACCGTGCCATTTATACTTACTCTGTTGTTTGCATTTATTTCTTCTCAGGGTGAAATGTGATGATTAGCTGTATCTTCTCTAATTCACTTAAAGCAAATAGAAATTGAATGGGAAAATTGGGTAATATTTCCTTGCAATGTCTTGATTATCATTTTGAGCTTAAAATATTATAGAACAAAGCTGGCCAAAGAATGTTCTTTGATATTACTGTCACCTGTTCTGTTATCTTCATGGAATCTAAGACTTGAAACGAGTCTGGCGTTTGCCCAGGAAGACTCTTGAGACCCAAGGCAGTCCATGTATTCTGTGCTTACACATTCAGGGGCTCATTTTTTTTCTCTTTTTTTGAAGGAATAGTTTATAATTGTTCTAGGTTCTGGAACTCCATTAAGGGCCAGCAACATCAGCAAGGAACAAAGCCATTTTTTCTGTTTGTTAGCTCTAGATATTTAAAAGAGCATCCTTTGGGGGTCATGTTTTATTTAGCCTGCCACAAATCCCTCAATCTATAGTTTCATCAAGGTACATTTATCGTGAGACTCAAACACTGCCTCTTAAGATTAACATAGATTTGCTGTGGGTTCATTACCCACTTGCCCTTGACCCATTTTGGTTTTTTATAATTTGTTGAATGTGTGAATTAATGAGTGGAGGATAATCCTCATGAATGAATGAATATGTGAATGAAAATCTTCATTCAACCATTGACTCCATCTAGAGAAATTATGTTTTTTTTTAAAGTACTTCAAACATACAATAATAGAATATATAACCCTTGCAGAAATCATATTAACACGTGTGCTTTAGGTTATTCACTTAGAGACAGAATAGAATTAAAAATGCTTCCAAACCTGTCCTCTCTCAAGCACCCCCAGAGATTGCTACCCTCCATTTTTATTTGTGTATTGAATTCACAAGCTGTATAGTCTACTGTTTTATTTGTTTTAAGTTTATCAGAAAAAGATACTGATGTAATTTTTTTTTCATTTTTTTCTTCTTTTTTGCCAGTCCTGGGGCTTGAACTCAAGACCTGGGCACTGTCCCGGAGCTTCTTTTGCTCAAGGCTAGCATTCTGCCACTTGAGTCACAATGCCACATCTGGCTTTTTCTGTTTATGTAGTACTGAGGAGTCGAACCCAGGACTTCATGCATGCTAGGCACTCTACCACTAAGCTGCATTCCCAGGCCCTGAGTAATTTTTAAAATTTTTATATTATCCTATAATATTTAATATTATCTTAAAGATTCTTACTGTCCATGTTGATACAAATATATCTGGCTTTTAAAATTTAAACTGTAGTATGGTTTAATTAAACTGTTTACTTACTAATTCCCTTCTTGATGGACACTTGAATTATCCCCCCCCCCCTTTTTTTCTTCTAATAGATCCACTTTATGTTATCTAAAGCCCTTAAGGACAAAGGGAATTAAGATTTCTGTTAGGATTCAGGAAATATGTGACACATGTACCCAAGTTATATAACATTCCTCATATCAGATCAGCACAAATTACATGTAAAATTGCAGGAAGTTCAGGAGTGGTGGCTTACACCTGTAATCCCAATATATCTTGGGAAGCAGAAATCAAGAGGATCACAGTTTGAGGATAGCCCAGGAAAAAAATGAGTCCCCATTGCAACAAACAAGCTGGCATGGTGGTTCATGCCTGTGATTTCAATTACTCATGAAGCTGTAGGTAGGGAGATAACACTCTGAGGCTTGATCTGGGCAAAAACAAGACTACCTGAAAAATAAAGCAGAAAGGGCTGGGAGCATGGCTCAAATAGTAGTAGAATGCCTTCTAGGCAAGCAGAAGCTCAAACTCTGTACAGCAGGGGAGGAAAAAAATCTGCAGTAAAGTTTATAGTGTATGGTAGAATAAGGAAGAGACCAAAGATCCGTGTCTGGTCAGTTTTCACTACCCAGTTAATGAAAACTTGTTTTTTTCATAACTTTTTGGGTATTAAAATTATAATGGTGAATTTACTGGCTTGTACAAATTGCTTTGATGAACATCAATTTCAGAATATCTCTAGGACTTGTTGCTAGAAATGCAGTGCGGATCAGTATGGATACATACATACATACATACAAACATACATACATGTGTATGTGTGTGTATGTATTGATCCTACTAGACATCATCAAGATGCTAGTGAAGTGTTACATCAATTTGTCATCCTACCAGCCATCTAAGAGAGTTGTAATTTACCCTGCCCATATCAATTCCTGTGTTTCTGAAGGTTTAAATAAATTGTAAGTCTGCTGGGAGCAGTGGTTTTAACTTGGATTTATTGATTCACTGTTAAAGTAACATACATTTATTGGACATTTGGATTTTCTTTTTTGGGGGGAGGAAGGGTTAAACTTGGTGTCTTGTGCTTGCAAAGCAGGTTCTCTGCCACCTAAGCCACTTCACCAAGCCCTTTTTATGTTGATTATTTTTAAGATAAGGTCTTGGTCTCTGCCCAGATAGGCCTGTACTGGAATCCTCCTGTTCTGTTGGGATGGCAGGTGGATATTGTCTAGACTATCCACTGTGATCCCCTCAGCTTGGAGTGACAGGTCTGTGCCACCTTGTCCAGCCCATTGATTGAGATGGAGTCTTATGAATCTTTTTGACCAACCTAGCCTTGAACCTCATTCTCTTGATCACCTGTTGTATTTTGAGACTGAATCTTACTGTGTCACCCAGGCTGGTCTGAAATCTGCTTCATTCTCCTACCTTAAGGTATGCACACTAAACCCAGCTTTTTTTTTTTTCCCCTGTCATTTGGCCTTTGCTCATTAAAAAAAAAGTTCTTTACTTTTCTCATTGATTTGTAGCAGTTATTTATATACTCTGGCTATCAATCCTGTTATCAGTCTTGTTACCTGCTATAGTTTGTACCATCTTTTATTTTCTGTGATGCCTTTGAGGTAAAGTTTTTGTTTTTTAAATCAAGGTATTCAAGTTATCAATTATTGATTATATGATGGGGGCTATTTTTTTGTTTTTGACATATACAAAATCCTTAGCCTGAGTCCTTTGGGCTTCATAATGAGGTTTTTAAATCATCTTGAGCCTGTCCTTCCCCTCCCCTACCTGTGTGTCTGTTTTATATGAAGTGCTTTTTTTTTTTTTCCCATATGGACACTAACCTGAGCTGTCAACCCATTCTTTTCCAAATTACCAAGTCCCCAAACGTGTGACTGCTCTGGGCTCTGTTCTTTTGGGGCCAGGGTTACAATTTTTGTTGCATTATCATTCGTCCCTCAGTATTGCTGAATTATTATTACTTTCTTAGAAGTCTTAATAGCAGGTGAGATTGCACATAATTCTTCATAGTTGTCTGGCCATTTTTTTGCCCACTTCCCCCCACCTTGTTTTTGGTCCTGTCTTATTGACAATGCCACTAACTTTCTAGTTTGCTTTATTAAATCACCACTGCAATTTACCTCACTGTCTATATCTAGGTCTTCAGTAAAGTCTTAATTTTCTTTTCCATCAGTCCTCTCTGTAGCCATTTCCACAGTTACCCTGACCCCAAATGTTCCACATGTGGTTGTCTCAAGCTGACCTACACCAGCCTCCTCCTTAACACTCCCCCCACCCTCCATGCCAAAGTGTCCTAGACTCACAGTTCAAGACAGCTGCCTTGGACTCTGGTAATGATTTCCAGTTGTTTCTAGGGGCCCTAAGTCTTGTCTAGAAGTACTCTGAGAAGTCCTCAGACAGCCTGCCTACTTTCTTAGAAGCCACAGAGAAGCCCTGAAAAAGACTAGAGGCAAGCTGAAACTAAATGTGGTCTCCTGGCTAGCCTTGTTAAATTGAATGCTCATGATGGAGGAGAATTGCTTACCTGTACCCCCAGAGGTGGAAATGAAACCTACTTTGTGCAGGTTGTAATGTAGAGACTATAAGCACTAGGAGGGATTAAAAGGGTGACCTTGGCCAGGCTCCTGAAAGCCTCCACAGAATCCTCTGGGGCCTGATGTCAGGGATCAAGCTGTATTTCCAAATGAGATGGCAGCCCCCTTCTATTACCAGAAAAGATGTTTTCCAAACAGGAGATCCCCATCTTTCAGGTCCTTCATCTGGATGGTTGGTTACCTCCACCTGGTTGCATAATCCAGCTATTCCCTCAAGCAGGTCAGCCTGCTGGTAATCTATACGTTGTCCCTTATGCCTTTTACATATTGTTTTCCTCTTATCCCTTCCCTAAATTCTATCTCCCTTCTTCAAAGTGGCACTCAGAGTCCCTCTATCCACAAAACTTCCCAGCTTACACTTCCCCAGCCTCTGCCCTTCATTTGCTTCACACCACTGTACACAGCTGCTCAGCTTTCTATTTGTTTATTCTTATGTGTGTTGGTTTTTCTCGTAAATCTTCTCAGGGCTTTTTCAGGTCTATCTGGCCTGTCATTCTTAATTACATTGTTTCTCAAGGACAGGGATTATATCTCCTTAGCCCTTTGACACTTGCTAGTACAGACCAGTGCTTAGCACATTGGGTCATAGAACAGAGGGTGGGATTGGCTGGATTCTGGTTGAGGTTTATCACTTGTGTGACCTTGAACAAGTTACATAACCTTTCTGGGTTTCAGTTGTTTTGTTTATAAAATGAGAATGATGATAGTACTTTCCTCACAGGGTTATTGACTTAGCAGTGTCTTGAATACAGTAAGCAGTCACTAAATGCTCTCTGTCCGGTAGTATTGTTAATGTTAACATTCAGATATTAGAAATCATGCCAAAACGGGTGGCCTAAAGCACCACATACAAATTTCACAGTTCAGAGTGTTGTCAATTTAAATCAGTTATATGTTGGAATCAGAAACATTATCATTCCTGACCGAAGCGCTGTTGATTATTTCTGTCTCACTCATTTCCTCATTTTGATAGGCAGGTCCACGAGATCCAGTCTCACATGGGACGCCTGGAGACGGCAGACAAGCAGTCTGTACACTGTGAGTAATTAACTATGGAGACCAGAGTCCTTTCTCTGATGACACAGTGCTAAATGGGCTGGGTTTCCTGCCTGCATTCTGCCCTGGGGGCTTAATGATTCTGTATGGAATGAGTTTTGTTGAGTGTGGAGGGCAGACAAAAAAAAAAACCCTATGGCAAAGTCACTGATTTCCCTGATTGTGCCCTCTGGAATCCCACAAGTCTTATCCCCCATTACCCCTCCACTCAACCTGACATGGTCCTATGAGAATGGAGGTTCTTTTCCCCATCCGTCTTAATCTAATTACTGAACCCTTAGAGGAATGCAGTCCATAAAAATTCAGAGATGTTTTAACTAGAATTGGCCTAGCTGAGAACTCTGACTTTTTAGGAGGATTATTCAGAAATGAATAGCAATATTAATTAGTTTAGTTCCCACACCATCTTTTCTTCTGAGAAGAATGCACATTTTATTTATTTATGTACACATATATATACATATACACACATATGTGTGCATATATATGTATACCCCCCTCCCCCCCATTCCAAGGAAAGGCCCTTTTTCTGAGTTAGCTGTATGGACACTCCACAGAAGCTTTTGTCACCACTGCCTGGCTCTCACCATGGACATTTGTTTCCTTGTCTGTCTCCTTTCACGACTCCAAAAGAATCTCTGCATTTGGCTCTGCACCCTAGAGCCTGCTCATTTGAACTGTGTTTGAGACAAGTACAAAGACCTAGGAAGGGGCAGAACCACTGCTGTCACTTCTTGGTGGGGTAAAATGCTCTAGGTACTTTCTTTAGTACACAGTTCAGTTTGTGTCTGTTGGACTTTGTTTGCCTTCCCAACAATCTCATTTTACTTGATGAGAAGTGGAAAGAGGTCATTTTGACTATCTTATCAAAAGGGTAAGGAAAATGACTATTACATCTTTTTACATCTGTGAATTCTTCCCCATGTCTTTCCTATTGATATTTGGTCTATTTTGAGAACTCCAACCTAGCTTAGCCTACCCATTCTTTTTTTTTTTTTTTGGTGGGGGGGGAGTGTCCGGTCATGCGGCCTGAACTCTGGGCCTGGGCTCTGTCCCTCAGCTCTTCAGCTCAAGGCTAGTGCGCTACCACTTGAGCCATAGCATCACTTCCGGCTTTTTTTTTTTTCTGCTTATGTGGTGCTGAGGAATCGACCTAGGGCCTCATGCATGCAAGGCAAGCACTCTACCACTGAGCCACCTTCCCAACCCAGCCAACCCATTCTTATAGAAAGCCTTGAAGAAATTTGTTTCTATTGTTCCATACTAATCTCCTTTCTCCTTTGTACTTTTTTTTTCAATTTCATTATTAGAGGGGATTCAGTTGATTCTTTCTTTACTAAGTACTTGTAATCTGTACCTGAGACCAAACTATATCAGAAAATTTAGCCTTAAATTTTTATTTGGGCAAGATTTAAAATATTCATTTTGTAAGTAGGAAATTTATTTCTACAGATTTACCTTTAGCTTATAAAAAAATTAGTAATGTGGCTAGGAAGGTAGCTCAGTGGTAAAGTGCTTGCCTTGCATGCATGAGGCCCTGGGTTCGATTCCTCAGTACCACATAATCAGAAAAAGCCAGAAGTGGCTCTGTGGCTCAAGTGGTAAAGTGCTAGCCTTGAGCTGAAGAGCTGAAGGACAGCACCTAGGCCCAGGGTTCAGGCCCCATAACCAACAACAAAAAAACAACTAGTAATGTGTAGCTATGTATATATAATTATGTATATGTTTGTTTGTTTTGTTTTGTCAGTCGTGGGCCTGAACTCCGGGCCAGGGCACTGTCCCTCAGTTCTTCAGCTCAAGCCTAGCACTCTAACACTTGAGCTACAGTGCCACTTCTGGCTTTTTCTGCTTATGTGGTGCTGAGGAATCGAACCCAGAGCCTCATGCATGCAAGGCAAGCACTCTACCACTGAGCCACTTTCCCAGCCCTGTAATTATGTATATGTATACACACATACCTGAAACATTTATAGTATACCTTAAAGTTTTTCCATTCATTTGTTGTATATATTCTTCTTTTGAAATACATGTTCTTTAGTTTATTGGATGTGAAACAAGTTTGATTTGTCATTCTAACTTAAGTTCACCATCTCTTTTCCAGCAATTATTCTTTTTTTTCTTTTGTGCAGTGGTAGAAAATGAAATTCAAGCAAGCATAAACCAGATATTCAGCCATCTAGAACGTCTGGAGATTTTGTCAAGCAAGGAGCCCCCTAATAAAAGGCAGAATGCCAAACTGTGAGTGCTAACCTCTAACCTGGCTTTGACACCCCAAGCTTCTCAAGGCAGGCCTTTTTTCTAGGGAAATCTATAGGATATTCTAAAAATCTGTGTGCAGATTGAAAAACTTAAGACTTTGCAGATACCTCCCAACCCCTTCCCCAAGAAAGCACAATTCTGAGTAATACCACCTCAAGCCCAAAAAGCCCTGTGAAGTGTGTGCCTTAGAAGCCTGCAATTCCTTTCTTTCTGTGGTGTCATTTTGAAACTTTGCCTCCAGTTCTGTTTGTCTGGCCAGACTCCTAGTCATTTGAAGCCTAGTGCTGCCAGGGAATTTGACTTCGCTGTTGGGTTCCCACTTCATTCTTCTTGGGTTGAGATGTAATTGTGCTTTTAATCACTTCAATCAGTCTATTTATAATGAAATACTTATGTTTGATACTCCATAAAATTCAAATGCAACCATCCTTACCACTTCCACTCCCAAATCCTACCACCTTAAGTTTTATGAAATTTTACTGATGGCATTACCTCAAAGATAGCCTTGGGCTTCTTCCAGGAAGGTTGATAGAATCCATTGAGGGTCAGAAAGGGTTCATCAGGTCTGCTTCCTGTTACTTGCTCACTGGCATGTACCTAGAATCAGACCAGATATTTAAGTACAGCTGCTGGGATTGTGGGTACTCCCACACATTTGAACCATGAGCTACTTTAAACATCATGGATAAACATCTTCTTTCCTAAGTACAAAGCCTAGCTGCCACCAATTGTGCCACCCTGGATTCCTGGAATTTAATTTCTCTTTCCATTATTTCTAGTCGTGTGGACCAGTTAAAATATGATGTCCAGCACCTGCAGACTGCTCTCAGAAACTTCCAGCACCGACGCTATGCCAGGGAGCAACAGGAGAGACAGCGAGAGGAGCTTCTGTCTCGCACCTTTACCACTAATGTAAGCAGGCCCTAGCCAGGTCAGCAGCCACTGACAGGGCTGAGTTCTGGTTGTTGAGTTTCCAGTTTTTACCCTTGAGGAAGGTGCCTCAAGCCAGCTGATGAGAAGGAGACCACTGGAAACAACAGGGGACTTTGTGCATTGCCACTGAGACCAGACCTAGACAAGGAATTTCTCCTTTCAATACAAAGTCTGAAGAGGAAGCAGTTAAATTGAGGGAATGGGCAGAGGTGAAAATTACCTGGTTTGACTGGTCTGATGTAGAGGTGGAAGTTCACATGGTCAAAATGTTTTTGTGATCAGATAGAGACAGATGATTAGAATTTAGACCATTTGTGGAGGCGGCAGCTCCTCAAAGCTGCCTTCAGGCAGTTGCCATTGTGCTGTGTGTGTGGTTCCTGTGGCAGATGCATTAAAATGTTTTTGCCCCTAGTCTGAGCAGCAATTTGAAGGAATTTGTTAACAGATGTTTAGTGTTTGATAGACTGCCTGACTTGAGTCTGTTTGAAAATAGCCTGTTGGTTTACATGTTTGATTCCTTAAAGCCATTGTAGCCATCTAGTCTCAGTAGGACCATTTCCTGCTCATAGCTATAGAATATACTGGTCTGTTTTGTGTCCTATGTAGTGATGTCCCACAAATGAGATGATTTTTTAAAAAATTGTTTCTTGCTGAAAGGTTTCTTTTCTAAAGCTATACTAGCTTTCTAAGCTTGTCATTAGGATTCACTTCATGTCCCACTTTACAGATGTGTAGTTTTTGTTGCTCCATTGATAAGTTGCAGTATGTTTCCCTGAGTGCTTCAGAACAGTCCTGTGTAGTTTTTATTTCTCCAAGAGCAAGCAATCAGGTCAGGATTAACAATTCGCACATGTAATGCACCATAAGACATAAAAAGACATTGCATGGGCTTTTGATAGTTCCAGTGTATTCAGGCGCTTTTTAGGCAGGGACCATCTCTCAGGATTATTTTGCTGCTTATCACCCTGATGTGATGCTGGGCATATGATAAACCTTTAAGAAATGTTGATTTGCCAAATGAAACTTCTTCCTGGTCATTTTTCCATATGGAGCTATACTAAATTTTCAGGTAGGAGGTAAGACAGGTTTGAATATAAAAGGTATTTGTAAATATGCCTTTTACATTTAAATTATCGAATAAATGAAGAGATGATTTTTATTGATTTTCTTTTCTTTTTTGTTTTGTAGCACTGAGGTTTGAATTCAGGGCCTTGTGCTTCCTAAATAGGCACGTTACCACTTGAGCTTCAGCATCAATCTATTTATTTACTTATTTATTTATTTACTTATTTATTTATTTACTTATTTAGTGGTAGGTCTCCAGTTTTCACCTAGGGCCAGCCTTGGACCTTTCTCTTTCTACCTATGTCTCCTCCTTAGCTCAGATCACAGGTATACCCCACTACATTCACCTTATTTGTTGAGATGAGGTCTTATTAACTTTTTTGCCCTGGCTTTCTTTGAACCTCCATCCTACTTATCTCTGCCTACTGAGTAGCTGAGATTACTAGCGTATACCACTGGGCCTGACAAGCTTTTTTTCTTTTTCCTCCTGGTGGGACTGGGGCTTTGAACTTGGGGCCTGTGCTTGCTAGGTAGGTGCTCTTTTACTTGATCCACACTCCCAGCACATGACTTTCTTAAACACTAGAATTTTTTGACCCACTGCACTAGCTGTTCGCACAGCATGAGAATATTAACAAACCTGACTCTTCCTTTGAAGCACTACAGTGTTAGCAGGACCAATTGAAAATGTTTTCGTGAAAGATGGTTCTGAACTTGAACAGTAGAGAAAAAGAGCTTTATTTAACCTCTGTTCCAATGGAAGCTGGGTTTTGGTGGTCCCTACAGCACTCTTGTCAGGATTTTGTGAGGCAAGAAGGAGAAGAGAGCCCTGTTGCAGCTGGCAATGCCTGGCCCTTGCACAGTCTACTTCCAGGGTGAACTTAGTCACCAGGACTGGACTTTTTCTTCCTGCAGCATGATTAAGAGAGCAGGCTCTGCACTCGGTTCTGGATTCCTGCCCCAGTGGACTTTTCTTTCGCAGTCCTGGGATTGAACTCAGGCCTTGAACTTGCTTGGAGGCACTCTGCAATTTGAGCCCTGTTTCCGACCCCTTTTCACATTAGTTATTTTTAAAGTAAGGTCTTGCTTTAACCCAAAAGGCTTGGGCTGTGTTCCTCCTATTTGTGCCTCCCTGTGTCTGAGGATGAAAGGTATGTTCCACTTTCTGCAGCCATTGGGTTTCCCTTATAGCTGGTTGGCCTTGAACCACAATGCCTAGATCTCTACCTTCTAAGTGGAGAGAATTACAGGTTTAAAGCACTACCCCTGGCTCCTACTGGACTTCTTACCAGCTGTATGTTCTTGGGCCTCATTTCCTTTAAATGTAAAATGGTGAGGATGAGAATACCTGCTTCATAGAGTAGGGTAATGTGCCTATCAAGTAGAATGGACTTGATAAGTACAGGTTCAACATCCTTAATCTGAAATTCCCAAATCCAAAATGCTCTGACATCAATAGAATGTTTTAGGTTTCAGGTTTTTAGATTAGGGCTGCTCAACTGGTAAAATCTATATGATATTCTACCATCTGAAAAACTGAAATTTGAGGCACTTTTGGGTCCAAACATTTCAAATAAGGACTACTCAACCTGTACTCCACCCTCCCCTACTTGTTTCTTTAGCAAACTTTTCTTGCCTGCTCAGGAGTATATTTCCATCTTGAACACCCTTAGGCATTCAGTAGAAAGCATGATTCCTTTGATCCTTGGTCTCAGTCTAATCAGAAGGATAAGCTACAGATAAAATAGCTAAAGAACAAAAGCAAATAGTTAATACCATATTACAGGGAAGCCAAGTAAAGACACACTTGGAACAGCTGTCTTTGTGAGGATTCAGAAGCCTTTAGGAAACACAGAGTGATATCTTAAAGGTGAAGCTTTTCCTTGGTGGGGAATTGATATAGACATAGAAATTAAATAATGCTTGTGTAGAAGAACTTATTTGGAGAGTGACAATTCTGAGAAATTTCCTCTTTTTCTGTGTGAACGGAGGATTCCCTGTACATTTGCTTTGCTTTTCTTCCCCATTGGGTTCTCTGATTCTTGTATTGTTTCCTCTGGCAGTTGTGGCTAGGCTCTAGCCAAAAGGCAGAACAGTCAGATGCAGTGGCACCCCAGGACCTGATCAACAAGCCAAGTTAATCAAGTGCCTGTTTCTTTCATAGGACTCTGACACCACCATACCTATGGATGAATCACTGCAGTTTAACTCCTCCCTCCAGAACATTCACCACGGCATGGATGACCTCATTGGAGGCGGGCACAGTATTCTGGAGGGACTGAGGGCCCAGAGACTGACCTTGAAGGTGGGGTCCCTACTGGGGAGCAGGGAGGAGGTGTCTTGTTTTGGCCTCTTCCAATAGTTTGGAACCTTCATTTGCATTTGGATTATGTGTTCTCAGATTGTGTGATTATGATGGCAAGACAGAGCTCTTGAGTTTGTAAACTTTTCTGTTGGAGTTGAATTATTGTAAGCCTAAAAGATACTGAATTCCCTTTTCTATTGCTTGAAAGGATCCATAAAATAGCCTCTTGGAATCCAGATCTTTCCTCATTTGCAACCCTGCATGCAGTTGATTTGCTACTACAGTAGAGGAGCGATAGCTGGCTGAGTTTATCATAGAATCCACCCTCATGAGAATGAAGACTTGGCAGCACTCTAAGGGAACCCCCTTAGAATTCCAGCTATGGACTGCTGTCATCTGGGGTCTTTTTGTACTTAAGTGCTGACTCCCCATGAGTGGGGTTTTTAGGCTGTGGAACACTGCTTGTAGTTAACAAGTCTACAAGTCTAAACTCTATAAGAAACCTATAGGGCATGTGGCAGTGATTCCTGTGACTTTCCACTCCCTCCCATCCCCCATTTCTGGGTCTTGAACTCCAGGCCTAGTCACTGTCCCTAAGCCTCTTTGTGCTCAAGGCTTCAAGGCTGGCATTCTACCACTTGAGCTGTGGTGCTACTTCCAGCTTTTTCTGAGTAGTTTATTGGAGATAGCTTTTTCTGAGTAGTTTATTGGAGATAAGAATCTCATGGACTTTTCTGCGTGGACTGGCTTCAAATCTTAATCTCCATATCTCAGCTTCCTGAGTAGCTAGGATTACAGGCATGAGCCACCTTTGGCCAGTGACTCTTCTCTCTTTAACCACAGGTATTCTGAAAAGCCCCGTACCATTGGGACTGCTAAGACTCTGGCTCCCTGGGAGTGGTTATAGGAACACTGCTTGTCATAAGGTTTTAGCCTCAGCCCTTTTCCTTGATGGCAAATAGGGTGTAGCTTTTGCCTGTTATCAGGGTGTGGTCCCCAGAATGAAGCACTCGGGCTATGGAGCTGTGAGAAATAGTCACTGGGAAGCCTGAGTTTATCTTAGTTTTTATTGGACCACTTGTCCGCTCGGTGGGCTCCAGTAAGTTTTTGAATAGCCTCTTGCATTTTCCCCCAGGACAGGGTCAGGCAGGCTGCAGTGACACTTGCCTTCTACTGACAGTTGCAGCATTTCAGATGGCTTGAAAGGGTGCTCCTCTTTCAGAACACCTCTGCAGTAATCTAAATGGATGTGTTGACTGGCCTGGCCTTTCTCTATATAGTCTCTCTAGTCTCTCTAGACTTTCTTTAAAGTCTCTCTTAAAAGGTCTCCTTTCCATAGCTCAGAAAAAGAGTCAAATCTTTCAGAACAAGAATTCCTGTGACACTAATGCACAGCTGGTGAGATACCGCACAGCTGGTGAGGTACCGCAGGTGTGAGCTTCTGACTGAAATCTGGCATCACTGGAAGTGCATATACCTTCTACCAACAACGGGTCATGCTGGAAACTTGCCTGGGTGGTCCTAGGATTAAACCTTGAGAATTTTACCTCACTTGCTTCTTCTCACCCACTGCTTGCCTGTTGATGCTCTCCACCTGCCTCTGCCCGGAAATTATCTTGCCTAAAGTAGCCTAGAAAAGAGCATGAAGGAACTGGACTGAAGCACCCTGATTTCAATCCATTAATGGCTGAAAGTAGTACTAGTCTTTAAAACTTAGGATCCCTTTCATACTTGATCCATGAATCTCCTACAATGATGAAATCTTTAAGAGTAAGTCAGAATTTTTAGCAAGATTTTGTCACCATTACTGTCATGAAAAAGCACTTCTGGTGTCCTCTGACAGACAAGTTTGATGAGATCTTTCCTTATAATTTTTGTGGCACTAGGGATTGTATGCAGGGCCAGGGCCTTGCACAGGCCAAGCAAGTACTGTCCCATTGAGCCACATCCCCAGCCCTTCAGGTCTCTGTTGAGACCTGTGAACCCATGTCTGTACAGAATATTATCTGTTCTTGTCCGTAATGCCTCCTATTCTCCCTCATTGGCCTCTTTTTTTCAGTTGCTTGGCAATTTGTGTTCACTTAAGAAAGTAGGCATGAGGGCTAGATCCATCATTCCCATTTCACAGGGCGATGTATGTCTTAAGTGACGTGGGATCTGTTTTGCACTCCCTGACATTTGTTACATGATAAGAAATGGAACATGCTTTTATGATGAAGGGAAGGCTGGAGGTTTGAGCTGTTGGCTTTATTTTGGTAATAGGTGGTGACATTTATGGAAGGGGCTTTAGATCATTGTGTTGCGGTCTGTTATGTTTCTCTCTTGCCTTCTTTTCCCACTTCAAACCTTCCTTGTAAATAAGGACTTTGACCTACACGTTGCACCCAGTAGAATCCCTGAAGATATTTTCCACAAAGCAAATAAATTAGTGTTAAGTATTATTGGAACTGGGTAACTGAGGAGAACTTTTTTGATGTGGCCTTTAAAAAACATAAAACATTTTAATGTTAATTTTATTTATTGATTGTCATTTATCTCCAGTGAGGTATATAGATCTTATTTGCATAGTTCAGTGAATTTAAACAAAAGCACCAAGCTTTCATAAGCCCTGAAGATACCTTTGCCCCTTCTAGTTAAACTACCCATCTCTCCCAGGCAACCATTTCTGATTTGTTTCACCACAAGTTAGCTTTGCCTATAATTGAACTGTATATAACTGTCTCCTTCCTTTTTTATGTGGCTTCTCCCTCTATTTTTTTTAAAAGTTATTCCTGTTATCACATGTACATAACTTATGATAATGAGGTCATGTGGATAACACACACACACACACACACACACACACACACACACACACACACACACACACACACACACACACACACACACACACACACACACACACACACACACACACACACACACACACACACACACACACACACACACACACACACTGTTGGGTTTTTTGGTGCCTGGGGCATGAACTCAAGGATTGGATGCTGTCCTTGAGGGTAGCACCCTTCCATTTGAACCACAGCTCCACTTCTAGTCTTTTGGTGGTTAGATGGAGATAGGAATCTCACAGACTTTCCTGCCCCGGCTGGCTTCAAACCATGAGCCTCAGATCTCAGCCTCCCAAACAGCTAGGATTACAAGTGTGAGCCACTAGGGCCCAACTGAGGTCCTTTTTATTAACAAGCAGTGTTCTGTTATGCATACATATCATAATTTGTTTTCTTTGTTTTCTGGGCTGGAGTTTGAACTTAGGGTTTCATGCTTACTAGGTAAGTGCACTGCCACTTGAACTATGTTTCTGGCTCTTTTTATTTTTGCCTTTTTTGTTGTTGTTGGTGGTGGTGGTGGTATGGGACCTGAACTCTGGGCCTGGGCGCTGTCTCTCAGCTCTTCAGCTCAAGGCTAGAACTCTACCACATGAGCCACAAGTGCCACTTCCAGCTTTTTCTGCTTATGTGGTGCTGAGGAATTGAACCCAGGGCCTCATGCATGGGAGACAAGCACTCTACCACCGAGCCACCTTCCCAGCCCTGTCATTTTTTTTTTTAAATATATTCTCTCTCTTTTTTTTTTTTTTTGGCCTGGGCTGGCCTGAACCATAATCTTATTTATACTTGCAAGTAGCTGGGCTCTAAGTGCATACCACTGTGCTCAGATTTTTTTATTGGTTAAGAAGGAGTCACATGAAGTTTTTTCCGGGGCAGATCTCAAAACACGTCCCTCTGGATCTCAGCCTTATGAGTAGTGAAGATTATAGGCATGAGCCATTGTGCCCAACTCCATAACTGGTTTGCATATCTTCTAGTTAAAGGATACTTGGATTATTTCCAATTTTTAGATACCTTTTTTTCCCTAGAAGCTTTACCGTAATTTTAGCTTTTATGTTTAATTCTATGATCCATCTTGAATTTTTATATATAATATGAACCACGGTTCTTTTTTTACACATAATACATACAAAATATGTATGTACATATGTGATATATCTATGTGATAACTTACTTTGTAGCCAGTTGTTCCAGCACCACTGTCTAACAGATTTTCTTTCCCCATTCCATTGTCCTGGTACCTAGATCGAAACCAAATTGATCTGGTTTGGATATTGTTTTCTCTGTGTGCTCTGGACATGACCCTAACAATGTCATTGGTAAAGCCCCACATTTACCCTTGGCAATTTGGGTTGATTTTTTTTCTTCTCCTCTTTCCTGCTTCAGGGGACTCAGAAAAAGATCCTTGACATTGCCAACATGCTGGGCTTGTCCAACACGGTGATGCGGCTCATTGAGAAGAGGGCCTTCCAGGACAAGTACTTGATGATTGGAGGGATGCTGCTCACCTGTGCTGTCATGTTCCTTGTGGTGCAGTACCTGACATGAGGCAGCCTTGCCCAGCGCTAGACAATACTCCCACTGTGTGAGAGTGTGCAAGAGTTTGTGTATGTGCGTGTGAGGGAGAGGAGGCCCTTTTAAATGTATGCCTGCCTTAACTGTGAAGCCCACTTGGGTATATTTGTGACCCAGTTTCAAACCTGCTCTGTTTGCTGTGACATCCTGGAAAGGGAGTTAGTGCCACCAAGATGCATGGTGCTTAGGAAATGGAAGAATTCCCTGTTGTCCAGCTCTCTCTTGATGGGGGAGGGAAGGGACGGCTTTGGTGGCTTTGTCACACAATTGCAGTCTTCCTTGGAAAGCTCCAGCAGTGAAGCTTGCATGCAGACTGTTCATCTCGTCATCATCCAGCATCTGAGTCCTAATGGACAGGCAGGAGCACAGGCAAGAAGAGGAAAAAGACCTTCTTTCCCTGCATCTGCTGGGGTCGATCAGATTTTATACTTGCTTCTAGCCACCACCCCAGTCTCCCCCTACTGCCACTCCTACCCCTGCTTAAAACAACAAGAAGTAGATGACTTAACTGCTAACACTTGTCATCCTTCCCTGGAAGCTGCTACCCAGGGGAAGCAGGCAGTGGAGCTATTGCCAATAGTGTGTAAACCTTACCACACTATGGCTGTTACTGGATGCTTGTCCTTCCTGAGGTAAGGCCAGTGTTGTTCTCTGGGAGTGTTAACTGTCTGGAAAAAGATCCAAGTCACTGATTGTTTCTAGTCATCACTAGAATGAATGATCAGCTCTTATGATCCAAAGACTTGAGGTTGGTGCCTAGGCTTCAGTGGATTTTTCTTTTGCCCCTTAGAAAGTAGCAGTGAGTGAAGGCTTAGAGATCAATCAGTCACAGTCACATCTGTAGTTCTTTGGCTTTCTTCTCCTTGGAATACATTAGCACCCATCAGCTCCCCAAATCTGTCTAGCTAGGATAGGCCACTGTGGAGTTGTCCCTGTGTGGATGCCATGGACTGGGTTGGACCTTTTTATTTCTCTCCCAAGTCTGGATTAAGGTTGTACCAAAGTAATAGTATGTTGTGGAATTATTAGAAAGCCAGTCTTTCTTGAAGTCAATCTAATGTGATTAATTGCTGAAAGTACCAGAAAGACATAGAATATTGTCCTGCTTGCCCTACCAACCCTAAGCTTAGCCTTGTGGTAGGACAAAATATCACTCCCTCTTTCTGAACTGGAAAATTGATCAGTATTAATGCTGCCTTCAGTGTCTTGTCATATGTACTCCTGCCTTTGTCCCTTGTTTCTTGAACTGTCTTCTGTTTAGTCCCTCCTCCCCCTACTACACATTTCATTCCACCTCCCTTTCATACTGTAGCAATATCAGTCTCTTCTCACACCTTTGTGGTATAGATCCTCCAGTGAATTCTCTTAACTGCCATAGATTTTTAACATGAGTTTCCTGGGTACTAATTTCACATTTCTGGTGTGATTTCCATCATTTCTATCTGTTTGGGCCAAACAAGCCCTAGATGTCCAGGAAGAAAGAATCTCTGTCTCCTTCTAAAAGGGATTCACAGCCCTGCAGAGTGAAGACTGTGGTGGTGGGCACGGGGCTTGCAGCATCTTTAGACTGTAATCTGACTTCAGGGAGATACACTTTGAAGATTTTATCATGCCCAGCTCAGAGCTCTTGGTGGGCCATAAATGGAGTTTTAGACTGTACAGACCTGGTTCTTCTGCCACCTGGGTACCTGAGAATCCTGCCAGGGCAGCACACTTTGGATTGTAGCTGAACCATTTGGATTTGAACTCGAAGGCTGATCAGCCCCCTTACCCTACTCCCAGCCCCATAGTGTGTATCAGTTTCCACACTTTGTGGTGATGAACTTTTGTGTGCTGTACCCTCAGAGCCTGAGATCTCCCTGTTTTGGAGTAAGTATGTGGAGTTAAGGGCTAGGAAGCAGCAGTCTTTCAGGAGACCCCAGGACACCAAGATTGCTATTGTCACATGACTACCCTCCCATTGTGTTCATTGCTAATACACCTTGTCCTGGCTGTGTGCAGCTGGGGAGGGAGTGCCCTCTAGTGGGCTTAGATGAGTTCTGACCTGGAAACCCAAGCAGGCAGCCTCTGCCCCTGGGAACAGGAGCTAGGTGCCTTTTGTAGATTTGAAACAGGTGGGTTGCTAACAGGAACTTGAACCTTCTTTATTAAGTGGACATGTACCCCAGGTCTGGCCACTTTAAGAAAATTCAAACTCAAAAGACCAAATAAACAGTCTCAATTTTGTAGGTTTCACTGCTGTTTTTTCCCCCTTCTTGCCCTTTTGAATTTAGATGGGTTTAATTTGCAACTTTGGATGAACATTTATTGTCTCCAAAACACCAGCTAAATAAAGTCAAAATTTATTTTATTTAGAAAATACTTTGTGAAAGCATTTGATATTCACTGTTAGGACTGTCCTCCTCTTCTGTTTCCAAGCAAGAGGCTCTCAGAGGCCAGGGCAGGGTGGCTGCCTCAAAAGAAGCTGAGAAACCTAAAATTACAGATTCCTGGGGCTTATCCCAGACCTGAGTCAGAACATTTTTTTAAGTCTCTAAAGTAATTGTAATGTGCATATTTTGGAGCCACTATTTCTTAAACAGAAGGCTTTTGTCTTAATCACAGATGCTAACTTTGGGAAATATATCTGGAAGTAGCTCAGCAGGTATTTGTGAAAGGCAAGACATGTTAAGTCCAAGATAAAGCTTCTGTACAGCCAGCCTTATTCTGGAAGAGTGAAGGTGAGTTAGGGGAAATAATTAGGAGCTATAGCTATAGCTCAATGGTAGGGTGCTTGCCTGGTACTCACAGGCCCTGTATTCTATACGTAGCCCCACAGGGAGAATATTCAGCAAGGAAATAAATAAGGAAATACTAAAATAGTGGAATATAAATTGAGGACTACAAATAACAGCAGGATGTCAACATGGAAAAGAAACTCAAATGCAAGTCTTAAAGCCCTGTAGACACCCTATAAAATCCTTCCTGTATGTAGCCTTGGGTCCAAAAGCTATAGCAGAAGTGTGAGATGTTTTTGCCACATGGGGCGTGTGCATGTGAGTGCATGCGCGTGCCTGCGTGCGTGCGTGTGCGTGTGCGTGTGTGTGTGTGTGTGTGTGTGTGTGTGTGTGTTTCACCTATGTTCAAAGACTGGGTTAGCACTGTTGGCTTCCACATAGTTGTCAGGCAGTTTGTCTCTCTGCTCCCCCATTAACTTCCCAAACCCTCTGAGTTAGGTCCTATATCATTGCTTTTATGCAGACAAGGGTAGCTTTAGTGATTCTGAAGACCTCATAGGGAAGCTGGCTCCTTGTCTGGCTAGACCATAGCCCAACCTCTGTACCAGTCTGCCTCTCACATTCCCCTGGAGATGCTCTGCTGGTGTAGGCCAGCCAGGGGAATGGGACCATGGAGGCCTACCAGCATCCATTACAGAACTCCTAAACATTTGTTGCAGGCCATTCCACAGATTATGGATTCTCAAACTAATTGAAAAGGCAAGGATTGGGAGAGCATTTGGAGCACCTACCTTCAAGTGGAGGGTAAGAATATACCCATATCTTGTCACCAGGGGGAGACATAGTGCTACCTTTGCTGATCTGGCCATAGTTCCCACTCTGATTTGGCAGAGTTCCTTTAGATCCAAGTTTTCTTGCAGAACATTGGCTCTGGACTAGCCCCTGAGCTCTAACTATGGTCAAAATTGACTTTAGAATCTCCAGATAGACCCAGGATTTGCCTTCTCCCAACAGGCAGACACACTACAAACAAACCTGGAAAATATTTCTCAATGTAGTGGTTATTCTTCCTCCCATTTCTGTGTGTGTGTGTGTGTGTGTGTGTAAATCTATTCAGTACTTAGCCCATTGAGTGCAGTTGGTAAGTTCCCGTCACGGACCTCTGTGATGGCCCTTATCTGCTTCATTTCTGTCCCTCTAGCAACAGGACCCCCTTGGGAACTTTTAGAAATACACATATGAGAGTATTTTATCTTGGTCTCTTATTAACTGGCAAGGGTGCAGCCTGAGTATCACACATTGGCTGGATGATTTTAATGTATAAGTGTGGCCTAGAGCAGCTAAGACCATCTCATGGCCAGGGCCATTGCCAGGTACTTCCCTCCTGACTACATTGGAGAGCTATTGCTCAAGGCCTGCTGGAATGGGTTAGAAATCTGTCCATCTAGCATGGAGAGGAGTCAGGTGTTTGCCCAGTGGGTGTCACCTCAGTAATTGATGCTGCTCTGTCTACTAGTGAAGTTCTGTGGTGTGACAGGCCAGTCCTTTCCTGCCTATCCAGTGTACCTCTCAGTCCTCTCCGTCACTCCCTGCCCGAGGCTCCAAGCATCTGGACTGCCACATTTGCATAGCTGCCCTTGACACATGATGTTTTCTTTGGCCTGTGTTTCATTCAGCCCCTTTCAATCCCACGTCTCCTTCAGGAATCCTGCCCACTCCTGTGCCTCCAGGATGGTCATTCCTCGTTACAGGAGAGTGTAGCCCTCACCTCTAGTGGGTGGGTTGGAGCTCTTGGCTCAGTGGCCTCTGTGAAAGCACTTGAGCACAGCCTAGGCAGGTAACAGACTTAGAAGTAGTGCCATGGTCCAGCCAAAGCTGTTGCAACCAGGCTTGGAAAAATCCAGAAGATTCAAAGGTTGCTGATGCTATAGGCCACAGATTCCTAGGCCTTTGGTAACAGTAATCGGTAAAGTAAAAGGGAAGAGGTGCAGGACCCCATGAAGGAAAAGTGTCAGCCAGATCTGGGGGCAGTTTAAGACAATGATGGTCTTTTCTGGGTTTTAAAGCTGAAAATCCAGAATCCTTACAACCCTCTCAGTTTATAGTAAACAGAACTGTTGGCCACACTAGATAAGCTAAAGTCATGACTGAGGCAGGCAATGAGAGGAGGGACTTGGCCTCAGAAGCTGACTCCATTAGTACAGTCTCATGGCCCCTCTTTGGATGTCCAGTTCATGGAGGCTCCCCCTGGAAGGCTGGTAGAGGCCTGACTGGGCTCAGGAGAGAGAGTGAGTCATAGCACTGAACAGTCCTTCAGTGCCCAGTTCCAGAACCCAGCAAATGCCCAGCACTCCAGGGGGGATCCAGCAGGCTTTGCAGGGATTATGGAACAGCACTAAAAGCCCAGACACGACAGTAGAGCCTGGCTTCCAGTCCCAGCTTGCTGGCAGCAGCCATCTGTAAAGTACTTACTTCTCTCAGCTTCAGCTTTCCTCTTACAACAGGGTACTTGTCCCCTGGCCCTTTCCAAATGAGCATGAAGCCTAAATGATCTTATGTTCCTGGCAGCCTCCAGAGATATGAAGCAGTGATTCTCAACCTTGGCCACTTCCTGGAATCCTAGAGGAATTAAAAAAGAAAAAAGTCTTGATTTGGGGTCTCTTCTCCAGAGGTTCTGAGCTATTTACTCTGGGACAAAGCCTGGCCTTTGATATTTTGATGGAGATTAAAACCGGGAGTGTTCTTAATCCTTCTAGGTGTGAAGTGCTATTGATCCTATTTAACTGGCCCTGTTCATGTGAAAGATCCAGAGGACTAATAACAAGGGTTCAGGGATAGGGCTGGGAAGGTGGCTCAGTGGTAGAGCACTTGCCTTGCATGCCTGAGGCCCTGGGTTCGATTCCTCAGCACCACATAAGCAAAAAGGAAAAAAGCTGGAAGTGGCACTGTGGCTCAAGTGGTAGAGTGCTAGCCTTGAGCTGAAGAGCTGAGGGACAGCACCCAGGCCCAGAGTTCAGGCCCCACAACTGGACCCCCCCCCCCCAAAAAAAAAGGGTTCAGGAATGATGATGGCTGGGTGTGGCTGTCATGAGCAGTGATTTGGAAGGGCTTTCTAGAGATAGTGACGTGATGGAGGTCTATTGAGTTTGGAGGAGAGGAAGAGTGGGAAAGGCTGAGTGGAAGGGCATGATGCATGGCCTGTGGGAGTTCATAAGCTCTAATCAGCCTTCAGCGGCTGAAGACAGCAAGGGAAGTGGCCGGAAGGCTGACCTACCATCTGCGAGGCTCGCAAGCTTCCTTGAGTCAGCTTGGAGACCATGGAAGAATGGGCTGTTGCTCAGATGGCCAAGAAGTCTGAGTCTTTGGTAAGTGGCTAATTCAGATGAGCAGTCCTGGCCTGTGCATAAGGGAAGCAGTTCCATTCTCCTTTCCCTTCCCAACCTGGGCAATTTGGTGCCACATGGGCAGAGTTTATTCCCCCAACTCTATTCGACCCTACCCCCTACCCCCAGGGCTTTTCTGCACCTCTGCTAAGGGCATCCTGAGTTCAGAGCTCAGGTAAGAGCCCAGGGAGTGAACATCTCTGTAGGAGGGCAAAATAATCTTGCTGCCCAGGATCTCTGCAGGTTGTTGTGGAAATGGAAAGATAAAGCCATAGAGATAACACCCTGTTCTCCTGAGTGCCAGTAAAATTCTTGTTGCTATATGCAGGGAGGGAGTGGTTCATTCAGAAGCCAATTCTTTTGCTGCCTCTCACACCTCAGTGAGGGGCTCCAGAAGACCCTTTGGCAGGCAGCCCCAAGTGCTGAATTACAGAAGGGGAGCTGAAACCATCTTAGTTAACAACAACAACCTTGTAATAATTGTTTTAAGATCACTCATTTGTTTTTTTTGGGGGGGGGGGGGTCCAGTCGTGGGGCCTGAACTCTGGGCCTGGGTGCTGTCCCTCAGCTCTTCAGCTCAAGGCTAGCGCTCTACCACTTGAGCCACAGCACCACTTCCAGCTTTTTTCTTTTTGCTTATGTGGTGCTGAGGAATTGAGCCCAGGGCCTCATGCATGCAAGGCAAGCCCTCTACCTCTAAGCCACCTTCCCAGCCCCAAGATCATTCACTTGGAAGTCACCCATTTGCATGTAATTAAAGATGTGGGAGGCCTTGGTATTCACTTAAGGAAAAAACATAGTTCAAGCTTAGTTTTGTCTCTTTTTAACATAAAAGGTCAATTCAGTAATTAACAGAGATGTCAGGGGGCAACAACTGGGTGCCAGACCTGTGGAGTAGATACAGAGATCAGAGCAGGAGAGAGGCTTTCTGGGGGAAGGGGTGGGGTTGGAGATGGGGAGGAGAAAGCTGGGCTGAAGGGAGGAGTGGGAGTTCAGTTCAGCCTGCTCCTCACTAGGAGTAATGTAGGGAAGGTTGGGAGGCCTGGAGTGAATGCACAGAGATCCTTAGGCATTACCCTGAAACCAGAAAAGTTGGGGAGGGATATAGGAAGGGCAACGTGTAAGTCCATGAGGATGTTCTAGGCTGCAATTAAAAAAAAAATAAAACAACAAAAAACACACGGGAGCTTTGGCAATCAGAACCTCTGGGTATGGGATAGCTTTTCAGGGGTGACTGGTTTAGGCTCAATGATGTCAGCAGGCTTGGACCTACCTGGGTTCCCTGTGCACTGTAGAACTTTGGGGACAAGACGAAGGAGACATGACAACGATTGAAGAGCTAGACTCAAATTGGTGCCTACTAAAGCTTATCTGTTCATTCAGTAAATACTAACTGGGCACCACTAGGTACCAGTCATGGGGTTGGGCTTAGGAATTCAAAACTGACTCTTCAAGATCCTGTCTGTGTCAATGATTTATTGCTATGCCACACCAAACTATGCTATGACTATCAACCATAGGGCCCTATAACAGAATTCTCTTGTCACATTTCAGTTCTTAAGGATCAGGATTTGAGACCAGGCATGGCTAGGACAATGTGTCTCTGTTCTGTGACATCCGGGACTTCTGCTGGATGATTCCAAGGCTGTGGAGAATCATCTGAATGTTCACAAACATGCATGGTGCTTGATTCCTGACCTGGAGATGTCTGCTCAAACACCTACGAACAGCTGGTCCATGGTGGCCAGGGCTTACAACATGGTGACTAGGGTCCAAGGGTGAGTGTCTGGAGGGATCTGAATCCTGCTTATGATCAAGCCTCAGAAGTTGCAGGCATCATTTTGCCTTGGACTGTGACAAGCACAGTTCCCAAGATACCTCTTTCTCAATAGAAATAGAAGAGCAGGCGGAATGAGATGAGCACATGGGTGTAAGCCACACTCCCCTGAATAAGAAGATCCCTAAAGAACTCACAAGAATAACACACCCAAAACCCATAGATACGTGTACTTAGGGTTGTGAGAGAATTGGCATCCGCTCACCCTGGGACACTGGATGAAGCTGTGAGTGAAGAGCTGTGGAAAAGGATAGGAGCATTCAGTGGCTCGAGCACAGGTCAGGGGTTGAGTGCAGATTGATGGGCAGAAGAGCAGGCTCATTTACTGTCTGCCTTCCTCCATTCCCTGTCTGCACGCAGCAGGCACTTAATAAATATTGATTGAAAATGAAATGAGCAGGGAGCGTTGAAGGCAGGAAACCATATTCCAGAGAGGGATGTGGTTAGGCTTTCTGAAGGCATCCTGAAATGAAGACAGTAGGGCCTTCTTGCTAAAGGAATTTGAAGACATTATTTTTTCTTTTCCTCTTATATTTGGGGGTGGGGGGTGGGGGGAAGGGGTTAGTATGGGAGATTGATCTCAGATCTTCAAGCTCTTGCTGTTTTTTTTTTTTTTTTTAATTGTTTACTACTGGCACTCTACCACTTGAGCTATACCTCCACTTGTAGCCTTTTGCTGGCTTACTGGAGATGAGCCTAACAGATTTGCCTATCCAGGCTGGCTTCCAGTTGTTTCAGATATCAGCCTTATTGCCCAACTTTTCAGCGTGTGTGTGTGTGTGTGTGTGTGTGTGTGTGTGTGTGTGTGTGTGTGTGTGTGTGTGTGTGTGTGTGTGTGTGTGTGTGTGTGTGTGTGTGTGTGTGTGTGTGTGTGTGTGTGTGTGTTTTGCCAGTCATGGTGCCTGAACTCTGGGCTCTACCACTTGAGCCACAGCAACACTTCCAGCTTTTTCTGCTTATGTGGTGCTGAGAAATCGAACCCAGGGCCTCACGCGTGCAAGGCAAGCACTCTACCACTGAACCACCTTCCCAGCCCCATATGTTGGTTATTTTTGGAGTAAGATCTCAGTTTAGGTCTGGGCTATGCTGGGCTGTGAGCCTACTATTGGTGCTTTCCCATGTCACTAGGGTGACAGGCACCAACTGTTGTGCTAATCATGTCATTTGGATAATAGGTATACACACAGTGTCACTCAGCCATTGCTTGAGATGAAGTCTTCATGAATTTTTATTCCTGGGCTGGCCTTGAACCATGATCCCCGAATCTCTCCTCCCAAGTACTTAGGATTACAGGCTTGAACCATTACTCCTGGCTTCTTCCTTTCTCTTTTTTCTTTTTTTTGTCGGTCGTGGGGCTTGAACTCTGGGCCTGGGCGCTGTCCCTCAGCTCTTCAGCTCAAGGCAAGCGCTCTACCACTTGAGCTACAGCGCCACTTCCTCTTTTTTCATTTATATCTTTTTCCTTTTTCAGTGTGTGTGTGCGTGTGTGCGTGTGTGTGTGTGTGTGTGTGTGTGTACTGGGATTTGAATTCACTGCCTCAAGCTTGCTAGGCAGGTGCTCTATTTTTCAGATAGGGTTTCATGCTTTTTTGCTTAGGCGTGGCCTTGGATTTCAATCTTCCTACCCACACCTCTTGCATAGTTGGGATTACCAGCATGCACCATCACACTGGGCACTTTTTCTTTTCTTTTTTTTTTTTTTGGTCCGGTTGTGGGGCCTGAACTCTGGGCCTGGGCACTATCCCTCAGCTCTTCAGCTTAAGGCTAGTGCTCTACCACTTGAGCCACAGTGCTACTTCCGTTTTTTTTTTCTTTTGTGCTTATGTGGTGCTGAGGAATCGAACCCAGGGCCTCATGCATGCAAGGCAAGTGCTCTACCACTGAGCTACCTTCCCAGACCTGGGCACTTTTTCTTAATATTTGTCTTTCCCTGTTTTTCAGTGTGTCTGAGAGCCCCTAAGAGCTGGTAGCCTCCCCTCTCTTTTCTATCCCTGACCCCAAGCCAAGTGCGTGGGCCTGCCTCCCTCCTGGACTCCAGCCCATGTGCTCAGCTGCTCCTTGCAGGATAGGGAAGAGGCCACTAGCTGATGAGGCATTAGAGGGAGAGTGACAGGGCCATGAAAGAGGGGAAGAGAGGAAAGGAAAAAATGGGAAGAGAGAGCCAAGAAAATGAAATTGTTAAGTGCATGTTCAGTGCCAGAGCCAAAAGCCCATCTTGCAAATTGCTTTTTCCTTCATGCTTGTCCCAGGGAAAGGCCCAATTACAATAGCACCTATTGCAAATGGAAGCAAAATTGCAACCGGCAGCTTATTAGGCACATTTCTGGGAGCAATTTGGGGCAGCAGTGAGCCCAGGGAACTTCCTGTGTGAGCACAGATACCTGAGCTCAACAAAGGCCAGCAGGAGGGGATTGGCCCCAGCATCTTAAGATCTGCTGTGGATCCTGTTCAGTGGCCTGAAAAAGGCCCAGACTGGTCTCTCTGGAGGAGCCTTTCTGTACTGGGGTGGGATATAACTGAAAGATACATGGGGCCTACTATAAAGCTTGCCTGATTCCAAGTCCCAGAATAGAGGAGAAATGGATCTGGAAGGACTTGGGACCCACAAAGCCTGATAACCTGGGGAGAGCAACTGATCAAGGGCCTCTCAGCTAGTTAGTGATAACAGATCTGGAATCAGTGTGGTCACCAACCCCCCACCCCAATACTCCCACCACTTTACCCTGTCAGGGACGTTCTTACCCTGGGTGGGATCTGCCATCTTGTCCTAGCCCTGGTCTGTAGCTCTGGCCCCAGCCCCAGCCCTGCATCAGATTCTGTATCATATTCTTAACAGGCAACCCAGAGTGGCAGGAGCCATGCCAAAGGGCTTTCCGGTTGGAGGGCATGTCCCCAGAACCCTTAGATATGGCCAGATTGTGAAGGCTTTTGAGGAGGCAGATAGAGGTGGACAGAGTCCACACACTGGCTAGAACAGCGGGTTCCAAAAGTGCCTGTTGGCCACCCACAGCAAAGCCCGGTGGTGGGTGGCATTCTCCCCACACTTACACATTTGGCTATGTCTCAGCTACCCAGAGTCAGTTTCCTTGACAACAGAGCATCCTTCCTCATCATGTTCCTATCCCAGCTGTCTGGGTTCAGGCTCCTTGTCAGGCTGCCTTACCAGCCCACAGCTCCGAATCTCAGGTTTAGCAGTGAACCATCAAGCCACAGACAAAATTTCCTGGGAGCTGTCAGGTAACTGGCTAATGCCCACAAATACCTGCATGGTTACTTTTTATTTATTTCTATTTTCCCAAGCCCATCCTGGGGCTTGAACTCAGAGCCTGGGTGCTGTCCCTTAGCTTTTTTTTCCCCCTCCAAGGCTAGTACCCTACCACTTGAGCCACAATTTCTGGATCTTTGGTGGTTGGTTGGAGATAAGGGTCTCACCAACTTTCCTGCCCTTGCTGGCTTGGAACCATGATTCTCAGATTGCAGCCTTCTGAGTAGCTAGGATTATAGGCATAAGCCACTGGTGCTTAGCATAATCATTTCTTAATTGAATTAGGAGCCCACTTCCAGGGGTTCTCTGGCCTTCTGTGCTCTAGAATTCAGCATTAGCAATCTTCACTGTTACCCTGCCAGTTCTTCAAGGCCAAGAAAATGCTGCCCCAAGCTCAGTTATAGTTACAGCAGGAAAGAAGAAGTTTCCAAGCTGGGTACCAGTGGCTAACACCTGTAATCCCAGCTATGCAGGAGGCTGAGATCTGAATCATGGTTCAGAGGCAGCCCAGGCAGGAAAGTCTGTGAGGCTCTTATCTCCAATTAACCACAAAAAAACCCAGAAGTCGTGCTGTGGCTCTCTAGTGGTAGAGTGCTTGCCTTGAGCTGAAGAACTCAGAGACAGCACCCAGGCCCAGAGTTCAATCCCCATGAATGGCCAAAAAAAAAAGTTTCCATTTTGGGGGACTGAGATGCCCACCCATAGGAAGGAAACAAAACAGCCTCAGGTGGAAATACTAAGGGCTGTTCCTGGCCCCTGTGTGTTGCTTTTCCCCAGGTTTCTGCCTTTTTGCTCTCCTTGCTAGACATTACCTCCTTCACAATCCAGCTCCAAAATCACTCCCACCAGGAAGTCTTCATTCTCTAAACTATTTTCTGTGTCCTCTTAGAGTGGCTATATTTGGTACCCACAACATAACTTAGTATGTGTTGCATCAGGGAGGGTAGGGGGAGAGAGATTCCTGAAGCTATTTTCTGAAGCTGTTTTTTGGTATGTTTTGTTTCTATGCTGGAAAATTCTTGTAAAATGAACATATGTTGTTTATCTGTCCAGCACCCCCTCTTTAGACTACAAGTCCTTATCCCCTTCTTCTGTGGAAATCCTATTCCATGAAACTCAGCTGAGGCTGCCTGATCCCACCAGGCTAAGGACCTGAAATAGTTCTGGCCAATCAGAGGACTGGCCAGGTTCAGACCACATAACCTCATGGAGCCAATCAAAATCTTCCCTGGTATTTATATAGATATTGCAGATCCCCTGACTAGTATTGATTCTATCCACTGGGTCTTCATTAACAAAAGCAGATGAAGATACTTGCCTTTCCAGACTTCCTTGCAGCTAGAGGGTGTCATGTCATTCACTCCTGGTCAATAATATGTGTGAAGAAGTTGCTAGAAGAGACATCTGGCAAAATCATTCTAATCCTAACTGGTCATTTCTTCTGAGATCAGAGCACCCAAACCTCGAGCATTTTACCCCAGCTGTATGGAGGGGCTTCCTGGGCGTGAAACCAAGAAGTTAGAATGAGAGAGAAAAAGAGCGGGAGGGAGAGAAGGAGGAAGAAGAAACTATCAGTTAGCCTTGCACTAAGCCATGCCTAAAGCTTTACAATATCCCAATTTGGGAAGAGGGTAAATCCTTTTCCTGCCTAAACAGTAGATTTCTGAGGCTTGAAGGAAAACTTCCATAAGAGTAAAGCCATATCTTTGCCTATTTTTTCTCTGCCCACTAAGCTACCCCACATAATAAGATGCTGAATGCAAAGCTGATGCACCATATACATTTTTCTCAAATGCATCTAAGCTCCTGGAATTCTTAGCAGCAATCAAACAAGAGTTTGAAAAGACTTGCTATCTGAAGTAGACTCAGGAAGAAAGTAAACTCATTAATTCCCAGTATAGATCTCAGGGTAAGAACACCTGTGGAGCAAGCAGCGCATACCTGAAATCCCTTCTCCAAGCCATTCCTCCAGCAAGCTCCCCCGCTCACCTGCTCCAGACACCTTCTAAACCAGTCTATTGGAGAATTCTCCACACAGGCTATATAGAACACAGGCTATATCTCCACCATCAGATGAAGAGTCCCCTGATGGTAGGTGCTCTAACTCCCTGATTAGATTGGGGGTCTAGATGTTGCTAATCCTCACATCAGAATAGGAACTAACTAGAGTTAGGCTCATCTCTCTATGCCTCATGGAACCTTGGTGGCAAAATGGAGCCTGAACCACAGCCATGTAGAAGGGAGTGGGAAGAAGAGGGTAATGTTCAGCAGGAGGGGCCATCCTAACCTTGGCAGTGGTAGGGGGACTCTTGATGAGTCCAAGATTAGTCCTGGATCAGGATATGTTATTTAGCAACTCTTGTGATATTTCAGATCAGGCCCTAGCCCTTCCTAGATGCAGAAGAACACAGACATTCCATGCCAACATGTGGCCAGGTTTTACCTTACAGGTTTTTCTTATTTCTCCTGTTCTTTTACTGTTATGTAACAATGACTCCCTTTATTGGGAAGCTTGTCAAATCCGAGTAGACACACACTGAAGGGGGCGGCCATGTGTCTGCTGTCTCATGGCTCTTGTCGGATAGGAAGTAGTCCAACTAGCTGACAGGACAATGGAAGAGAACCCCACCAAACTTCTCTCTTCAACACACTGCCTTGTCTTTGTAGCCCCAGCCTGATTCCAGACAATAAATCCTTTTAATCAGTGAGCCACTGTGGAGGGAAGATGCTAAGGCCAGGTCTTGAAGAAGACAATGCCTTCCTAAAGGAGTCAAGGAAAGTACCACTGGAAAGAAAAGCAGCTTGCATGAAGGCCATAGGTAAGGGGAAGGTCAGGCTGCTCACCAGAGGTCAGCTGAATTCTCCAGAACCATCAAGAACAGAGAGCAAAGATGAGGTGGGCTGAAGCACAGAGGACATGAAAATGGTTTGGGGTAGGGGGTGATAGAAGCAAGGTGAATCTCTGTCCTTATTAGAAAAAATTCATGGGGAAATGGGCCAGAGCCTAGGCAGGAGATACACATGGTAAAAATAGTGTTAATGGCTGAGCACTGGTGGCTCATACCTGTAATCCTAGCTACTAAGGAGGCTGAGATCTGAGGATCTTAGATTCAAAGCTAGCCCTAGCAGGAAACTCTGTGAGACTTATCTCCAATAAACTATTAAGAAAAAGCCAGAAGTGGAGCTGTGGCTCAAAGTGGTAGAGCACTAGCCCTGAGCAGAAAAGCTCAGGGACAGTACCCAGGCCCTGAATTCAAGTCCCACAACCATACAAAACCAAAACCCAAAACGTGGTAATGGTCCCAGACATATACATGTGGAGGTTGAGCATGCTGGGAGACAGGCAAGGGGCTTACCTAGGGCAATGTGGTAGGGATCTGCGTGCATAGTGTACTTATGGAAGCAGGAAGGGTTGGAATCTCACTGAGTGACTTCTCAACTTTTACACGGGCTTTGTCTTTTTAGAGAAAGGTAACAGGAATACTGGCTCAGTCTCCTTAAAAGGTCGATGGCCCCAGGAGTTGGCTGCTGTTTTAGGGGTATATTGCTGCTGCATGTCACCCACTATGGACTTCTCACTCATGCCCCAAGCATAGCAGGGACCTCAGCCATCCAGGGCCTTCTTTTCAGTGACTGGCAGTGACTGGCCAGGTATCCAGAAGGAAATGGGGGAGGGAGGTCATGAGCAGGCTGCCCAGAGGCTTTGACTCAGATAAGCCAAGTTGGAGGGCAAAGGAGAAACACAAAGAATCTGCAGCCTCTACATTTTCTGGGAATCCATATCCCACACCAAATAAGGGAAAAGATGGGACACATTTACACAATAACCCAAGACAGGGTCTCCATAGCAACAATTACCCAAAAATCTACTCCTGACAGCCGCAACAGCAGGAGCTAGCAAAGAAGACTCCGGGGGTGGGAGACATGCGTGGGGGCTCAGAGAATGGCTTTCTTTTATTCTTAAACTGAGGGAAGTACTAATGGCAGAGACCCAGGCTTCCCAGAGCCTGCCTAAGTGAAGTGAAGAGCCACTGGCAGCAGGATCTGCTAGGAGCCTTAAAGATGAGGCCTCCAAAGGCCTGGACATAGGAGGTTCCAGGAGCAGGTGCTACTCAGAAATGCAGGCAGGGCCATTAGGGCACTGTACTTCCATGTACTCCCAAGACTTTCTCCCTAACTTCCAGAGGTCTTGGGGAAGTGGGCACTGAAGATGGCCCTGACTTCTGGGGACATCAAAGGCTATGAGAAGTGCAAGTGCTTCAAGATTTGAGTATAATCCATAAAAGGCTCACTGGTAACATGGATTGGGAGAAATGAGTTCTAGCCTGCTCCACCCCATCCCCCAAGCTTGCTCTATGTTCTTTTTGAAGTGAATATAGGCTAACCTTCAGGAATAAGTACAAGACTCTGTGTGTGTGTGTGTGTGTGTGTGTATGTGTGTGTGTGTGTGTGTGTGTGTGTGTGTGTGTGTGTGTGTGTGTGTGTGTGGTATGTGTGTGCATGCTGGTATTGGGGCTTGAAGTCAGGGGCAGGAAGCTGTCCCTGAGATTTTTCACTGAAGGCTGGTGATCTACCACTTGAGCCAGCTCTGTGTCAGGCTTTTTGGTGGTTAATTAGAGAGTCTCACAGACTTGAGACTACATTTCTCAGATCTCAGACTCTTGAGTAGCTAGTATTACAGGCATGAACCACCAGTGCCTGGCTTAAGAAATACTTTTTGCTGAAGAATTGTCCAACCCAGGGACAAGGGAAATTTGAAAAGCCATGTAGAACAGCCTGGCAAAACTAGCCTCACCCAAGAGTCACCTCAGCTGGCAGAGATGGTTCTGAGGCTGAGGAGAATCATCATAAGGAATGGGATGGGAAACTGCAGTGTGACCAGAGAGGTCGTGGGGAGATAGGGGCAGGTGGAGGGGGCTGGATTAGCAGCTGAAGTGTCATCTGCTTCCCACCAGCAAGCAGATGGTTAGACTAGCAGTGTAAGCCCAAAGGCAGGCAGAAAAGTGTGTATCCTCTAATTTCTATTTTATATATTTTAGAAAGAAATTTGGCTCAAAAAGGGAAAAGCATTCTGCTTTCCTTTTTGGAAAAAATCTAAATTCAACCCTCCCCAAACCCTCCCTGTGGTTTTCTCTGGTAGCTAGTGTTCAGGAGCTACTGGGTATATGTTTTTTTCAGATCCTAGAACTCAGCTTGCATTAATATATCTGGGGGAAAGAAGAGGTTGTGCATCTTGGTTTGGGGATGAAGTAGAAAGGATAGCTTGAGTCTCTCTCTCTCTCTCTGTCTCTCTGTCTCTCTCTGTCTCTGTCTCTGTCTCTGTCTCTCTCTCTCTCTCTCTCTCTCTCTCTCTCTCTCTCTCTTTCTCTCTCTCTCTCTCTATGCCAGTACTGGGGCTTGCTCTCTCACTTGGCTATTTTTGCTCAATGCTGGTACTCTACTACTTGTGTGATTGTAGAGTGAAGGAAAGGCCCTACTGGGTCTTACCTACACTCAGAACTCCAGTTTTCATGTGTGTGTGTTTAAAGCAAAGCACCCTCAGGGGCTTATCAATATGTAAAGCATCTTAGCTATGTGATTGCCTCTGAGTCTACAAAGTAGAAGGTACCCAGAACTTTCCACACCAATTCTTCTAGCCAGCAACATCTCATACTAACTTAGCATGGTAATGGTTTATGCTAGAGTGTTTCTTCAGCATTTTTTTTCTATTCCAGGGGCTCTGCCTATTTTTCTTTCCATCTCCAAAACGTGTCCCAGCCATTTGTGTCTCTAAAGATGGAAAGTCCTCCCACCCCTGGAGGTTTTCAGGAATCTTCCTCCTGCTCTTCCCCCATCCTCCCTCCCCAGAGCAGAATTTCTTCCCTCTCCATCTGAACTGAGCGGGAAGAGAAAAATGCAAAAGCAGAAGGCTGTCGGGGCCCTTCTGGAGTGTCTTTGCTGTGACTTTGTGGTCAGAGTCTGTTCTCAGCAGTAGGGTGTAGAAACTCCTTTGGAACATGTACCTCCAACAGGCTCTCCATTGACTCCTCCTGATGATGACTGAACTCAGGGTGCTGCTACCAGAATGTGACTTCCTAAAGTATCTACCCAAAAGATTTGACCCAAAGAACTCTCAAAGCTCAACAAAAAGAAAAAAAGTGACACAACTTAAGAAAATGAGCCAAAGACACCTCACCAAAAAAAAAAAAAAAAAGATGTAAAGAGAGCAAAGAAGCACATAAAAAGATAAGCAACATCCTCATTCATTAGGAAAATGACACAGCCAGGTCCGGATGAGAGATCCCACTCTACACAGACTAGAAAGGCACACTTAAAAGGCAAACAAGTCAAACACAAAATGCCAATAATCTACCAGGCACTGATGGTTCATGCCTATAATCTTAGTTACTCAGAAGGCTGAGATCTGAGGATCTTGGTTTGAAGCCAGCCCAAACATGAAAGTCGATGAGACTGTTATCTCCAATTAACCAGCATAAAGCTAAAAGTAAAGCTATGGCTCAAGTGCTAGAGTGGTAGCTAGCCTTGAGCAAAAAAAAAAAAATCCAAGTGAGAGTGTGTGGCCCTGAGTTCAAGCCTAAGTGTTGGCACGAAAAATTTAAAAGAATTTAAAAGAAATAAGACAAAAACCTTCCACCAATAATAGCAAGGGCTGACAAGGATGTAAACCAACCAGAACACTTGTATATCACTGGTGAAATTGCAAAATGGAGCAGCCACTGAAGAAAACAGTCTGGCAGTTTCTCATAGAGTGAGGCACATACGTTATATATGACCCAGTAATCTCACTTTGCCCAAGAGAAATGAAAACTTTTGTTCACACATACATAAAAAAACTGTACATGAATATTTATGTTGGCTTTATTCATAGTTTCCAAAGCCTAGCTACTATCCAAAAATTCTTCCATAAGAGATAGATAAAAATAAAAGTTTATATTTAAAAGGCTGTGACACAGCCAGGTACAGTGGTATGTACCTGCAATATCAGCACTCAGGAGGCTGAGGCAAGAGAACCACGTGAGCCTAGGAGTTCAAAGCCAGCCTGGGCACCATAGCAAAACCTTATCTCAAAAACACAATGAAGGGCTGGGAAGGTGGCTCAGTGGTAGAGCGCTTGCCTTGCATGCCTGAGGCCCTGGGTTCGATTCCGCAGCACCACATAAGCAAAAAGAAAAAAGCCGGAAGTGGCGCTGTGGCTCAAGTGGTAGAGTGCTAGCCTTGAGCTGAAGAGCTGAGGGACAGCGCCCAGGCCCAGAGTTCAGGCACAAAAAAAAAAAAACCACAATGAAGTTGGGTGTTGGTGGCTCATACCTGTGATTCTAGCTACTCAGGAGACTGAGATCTGAAAAACAAGGTTCAAAGCCAGCCCAGGCAAAAAAGTTCACACAAGACTCTTATCTCCAATTAACCAGTAAAAAGTCAGAAGTGGAGTTGTGACTTAAGTGGTAGAATATCAGCCTTGAGCAAAAAAAGTTACATGAGAATGAAAGACCCTGAATTGAAGCTCCAGTACCAAAACAAAAAAGCAAGCAAGCAAGAAAGAAAGAAAGAGAAAGAAAAGGAAGGAAAGAAAACACAAATAAACTTGTGAGTGATATATCCAACCCAATGGACTATCACTACAACTGTGAATGCAAGAAGCCAGATTGAAAAGGTGACTTGCTGCATGATTTCATTTATTTGACAAAGGAAAACTATAGGGGCAGAGAATGGATCAGTGGTCAAGGGAAGGAAGGAAGGAGGGGAACATGAATTGTTTTGTATCTTGATTGTGCTGGTGACCTCACAACTGAAAGCGTTTAAAAAATGTGCAATACTGGCTTGCATCTGTAATCCTAGCTACTCGGGAAGCTGAGATCTGAGGATTGCAGGTATACCCAATAAACCATATCTCCCAGTGTATGTCCTTCTTAATCTACTCCCAGTTTGAATCTGGACTGGACTGGTAACTCATTTTAATAAATATGCCAATATTTATCAAAGATATGCCAATTCTGGGACAAAGATGGAAACTTCTCTTCAGTTTGATAAAGAAATGTACCATGTGACAACTCTCCCACTATGTAGATGGTGGAGAAGCCACACTTAGAAGGCTTCGCCCACCACGCGAGTACAGGAGAAGAAGGGTCCAGCCATCCTGGCTGAGCTCAGCTTACCAGTCTTCCAAGATGTCAGACATGGACATTGTAGCCACAGTATGCAGTAGCCACCACCAACATCACAGCAGCAGAACTACCCACTCATGTCCACCCCACCTACAGCATCATGAGAGATAATAAAAATGATTATTCTGAACCACAAAGCCTGAGGAGAGGTGGTTATATACCTGTAAGTAATCAAACAATCACTTTGAAGATGTGCTTGGTTTTTGCCTGTTAGTCATTTTTCTAAGTAATACTATTTAGTCCGACCATACTTAAAAGTATGTGTAACTAACTCCCATTTTACAAATCCAGGCTAATCTTGGAAAGAATGTCACATTGCTGTAAGGAATAAAAGCAGGGCTTGAGTAAAAGTCTTCTTTATTTTGTGGCACTAACTTTTGAATTTAGGGATTTGGGCTTGATAGGCAGGTGCTTTTCTCTAGGAGCTATGCCTCTAGCCCTTTTTGCTTTTGTTATTTTTTCAAATAGGGTATTGCATTTGTGCCCAGCTGATGTGGCCTGCAATCTTCCTAATTCTCATTTTCATTTAGCTAGGGGCTGGGATGATAGGCATACACTATAATGTCCAGTTGTTTATTGAATAAAAACTGTTTTTTGCCCAGACTGGCCTTGAACCATAATCTTCTTGATCTCCACCTCACAAGTAGGTAAGATTACAGACATGAGCCATCATGCCTAGCAAGTCAAGAGTTTTGATTTTGAACTCTACTCCATGCTTCCAGCTATTGCATTAACTGGCCAAGTTAGGGCTTTGACGGGCAAAATACACACATGTCAAAGCAAATCACCATGTCTGTGTCCCTTCTACTTTGAGCTTCCTTTAAATTTTACCCCTCTTCTTTTTTCATCCTGAGGGGGGAAGTGGATTCTGGAAGAGATGATCAGATAAGTAGGTGGATGACACAGTTGGGAATCTGATTATAATTTTATCACATTTCACAAGTTCTAATCATCCTTGGTGTTAATTTCTCATTTGAGAACATGTAAGTGATGCATCTGCTCCTCCCTCTCCTTTCTTCTAGAAAGCATGAACACATGTTCCTAACAAGAAAGTGTGCCTTGTTAACCACCAGTATTCGCCACAAAAGAAGCTAAGCTTCAGGAGGGGTGAGGAAAGGGCTGAGTTTTTATGGGCTGTCCTATCCTTAGCCAGCTTCCGGGTCCATCAAGCATCAAATGATTATCCAGTCCCTGTTTCACAAGTGAAGAACCAAAGGTCCACAGTGGAGGAATGGCTTCACCAAAAGCTTGACATGTCTTCCAATTCCTCCTCTAGAGTTTGGAACTTCAGGTTCCTCTGGAGTTTTTCTCTCCAGCTTCAAATAGGTTACTGGGCTTCTTGCAGTGCTGGGAATTGAATCCATGGCTTTACATACTCTAGGCAAGCACAGGACTACTGAGTACTGTACTTGAGCACAGTACATCCCCAGGAACCCCCAAGGTTCCTGGGATTTGCATGGGGGATGTTCTGAGTCAAGCAGGCTCTGAGAATGCCAAGATCTGTTGAGAACAGAACATGACCCAGGAGCACTACATTCAGGCATTCAGCACCATGGACAATTCACTGTCCTCCTGCGAGGGAACCAGAGATGGGAAGGAATAATCATAGAGAACACCTAGTTCAGTTTCCTTTGTTTGCATGAGACAAATCCCTGGAAATCACATATCTAGGGTCACAGATGCCTGGCCTCTGGCTTGAGTAGAAGTCTCCAAAATCAAAACCTCATGCTGTCCTCATGATGAGGAAAAGACAAGGCAAAGGAGAAACTGAAAGACAGCTAGGTGCTGGTGGCTCACACCTGTAAATCCTAGCTACTCAGGAGATTGAGATCTGAGGATCACAGTTCAAAGCTAGCCTGGACAGAAAGAAATCTAAGAGCCTCTTATTCCCAATTAACCAGCAAAATATTGGAAGTGGAGGTGTGGCTTAAGGGGTAGTGCACCAGCTATGAGTGCAAAAGCTAAGGGGCAGCTTCTAGGCCCTGCGTTGAAGCCCCAGTACAGTTAAACAAAACAAAACAATACCCAAGAAATGGAAAGAGCATCCAACCCTGATGGAAAGGTCTGTGGTTTGGCCTCTTACTACAAACACTTGACTAGAGCTTCCTACTTTCCCAAGGTGACTTGGCCTTTCAGAGATACTTACATTGCCATAGTAACCTCATCCTCATTTTTATCTCCATGGCAATTCATTAGAGTTTTTCACCCTCTGGTACATACATATGAGTGCTCATATACACATCCCAGAAAAAAAAAAAAAACTCATGTGAAATCACATTTTTGAAGTAGCATGTCTCATCCAAGACTACAGCCAGACTAAGATAGACAGGATCCAGGGCCTAAAGAAAGAATGCAAGTGGTCTTTGGGGCAGCTTTGCCTTTTTGTTAGAAAACTTCTAGTCTTTGCAGCTTAATACACTTTAAATTCACCATGGGCACAAATAACTCCACCTTTCCTGTGACAACTCATTCCCCTAGGAACTTACCCGTAACAAAGGCTCAGTGTTGCTTATGCTAGGGAGACGTACTGGACAATGAGAGAGATTAGTCCTTCTGAATGGAAGCTCCCCGTTACCTTAAGGGTGCTGGGGTAGGGTAGAGGGTGGAGGGAGGCAGAAGGAGAGAGCTGGTGTTAGAGAAGGATGTCCAGGAGGGTTGGGAAAGGTTGTTACCTAACACCACTGGTCCATGGTGTCCAAACTACTGAGAAAGCAGATCAGGATTGTGAATTTGAAGCCAGCTGAGACAAAGTTAGTGAGACTCTGTCTCAAATATAAAATAGAAGGGGTGCCAGTGGCTCATGCCTACAATCCTAGCTACTCAGAAGGCTGAGATCT